ATACTGACACACCATTGTCACCCCAAATCCATAGTTTTCTTCGGTTCACTCTAGGTGCTGTACATTTCATAGGTTTTTACATGGATATAACAGCATGTATCCAACATAAACAGTATCAGGATAAACAGGATAATTTTACTGTCCTAATAATCCTCTGTGCTTGATTTATTCATTCATACCTGTAACCTCTGGCAACCACTGATTTTTTTTTTTAAATAAGATTTTATTTATTTATTTATACAAGCACTGGATACAGTCAGAAGCATGGGAGGGTGAGAGAATTCACCAGAGTCAGAGCGGAGAGCAGAACAGGCAGACTGACGAAATACACTGCTGAGGGGAGCAGCGGGCGACAGGAGAGGTCTGTGCGCCATGTGGGACCCTTGCCCGGCAGCCGGGGATGGAACCGGCGCTGCAGAGGCTATGGACAGCTTCACAGCCTGGCACTCAACCTGCCGAGCCACCAGGGAGGCCCAACCACTGATGTTTTTAATGTCTCCATAGTTTTACTTTTTTTTTTCCCTATTTTTCTTTTATTTTTAATTTTTTTAAATTTTTAATTTTTTAAATTTTTACATCATTGTTCATTTTTAAACAATATTTGCTTTCCCCCACCCCCTCAGGTGTAGTCCCCATAGAATTTTCTTCATCTACTTTTTCCAAAATGTAATATGATTGGAATCATACAGTATGTAATCTTTTCAGATTTACTTCCTTCGCTTACCAAGATGCATTTAAGGTTTCTCCATGTCTTTTTTATAATTGATAATTCTTTTTCCTTTTAGTTGTTAAATCATATTCTATTGTCTGGATCTACTAGTTTGTTTATCTAGTCACCTACTGAAGGGACATCTGGGTTGTTTCCAAGTTTGGCAATGATGACTGACACTGCTATAAATATTCATGTGCAGGTTTTTGTGTGGACATAAGTTTTCAGTTCCTTTGGGTAAATACAAGTTCAGTTGCTGAATTATATGTTAAGAATGTAGCTAATTTTTAAAGAAACTGCCAAAGTCTTTCAAAGTGACTGTACCATTTGCATTTCCACATCAACAAAGAAGAGTTCCTGTTGTTCCATAATGTTGTTAGCATTTTGGGGTTTTCAGTGTTCTGGATTTTGGCCTTTCTAATACAGATAGTTCTTGCCTATCCCCTCCCATTCATATTTAATGGTATCTAGTTATTGTTTTAATTTATATTTCTTTGATGGCATTTGATTGTGGGACATTTTCATCTGCTTATTTAGCATTTATAAACCTTTCCTTAATGTGTCTGTCAAGGTCTTTAGACTATTTTTTTTTTTTTTTTAATAGAGGCATGCTTTATTTATTTATTTATTTGTTTGTTTGGTTTTTTTTTTTTTTTTTTTTGTTTATACATGCACTGGGTACAGTCAGAAGCGCGGGAGGGTGAGAGAATTCACCAGAGCCAGAGCGGGGAGCAGAGCAGGCAGAAGGACCGAAGTACACTGCTGAGGGGAGCAGCGGGCGGCAGGAGAGGTCTGCGCGCCATGTGGGACCCTCCTCCAGTGGCCGGGGAGCAGCCGGGGATCGAACCGGCACCACAGAGGCTGCGGGCAGCTTCGCAACCCAGTGCTCAACCGCTGCGCCACCGGGGAGGCCCTTTAGACTATTTTTTTGAGTTGATTATTTTCTTAGTGTTGAGTTTTAAGAATTGCTTGTATGTTTTCATTAAGTCTTTACTGAGATGCATTGTTTTGTGCTAATACCTTCTCCTAGTTCATGATGAGTCTTTTCATTCACTTGACAATGTCTTTTCTAGAGTGGAATTCTTTAATTTTAATGAAGTCCAGTTTATTGATTATTTCTTTCATATACCTTACCTTTGGTGTTGTATGTCAAAAGTCATCATCAAAACCAAAACCATCTTTTTGTTTTCCTGTGTTCTCTTCTAGAATTTTTCTTAGTTTCATATTTTACATATAGGTGTGTGATCCATTTTGAGTGAATTTTTTTTTTAAAGTGTTTTTAATATTTAGGAAATTGGGCGTTGGCAATAATTCTTTTTTTTAAAGATTTATTTTTTATTATTTATTTATTATTTTTATGTATACAAGCACTGGGTACAGTCAGAAGCGCGGGAGGGTGAGAGAATTCACCAGAGCCAGAGCAGGGAGCAGAGAAGGCAGAAGGACCAAAGTACACTGCTAAGGGGAGCAGCGGGCGGCAGGAGAGGTCTGCGCGCCATGTGGGACCCTCCTCCAGTGGCCGGGGAGCAGCTGGGGATGGAACCAGCGCTGCAAAGGCCACGGGCAGCTTCGCAACCCAGCGCTCAACCGCTGCACCACCGGGGAGGCCCCATTTTGAGTGAATTTTTATAAAGAGTTTAAGGTCTGTGTCTAGATTCATTTTTCTTTCTTTTTTTCACATGTGGCTGTCCAGTTGCTCCAGAACCTTTTGTTGAAAACTATTTTATCTTCATCATATTGTTTTACCCTTTTGTCAAAGACTGGTTAACTATATCCATGGGTGTCTAGAACTGGACTCTATTCTTTCTCATTTTTCTATTTGTGTATAGATTAATTTGGGAAGAACAAACATCTTGACAATATTGAGTCTTCCTATCAGTGGACATGGAACATGTCTCCCTTTATTTAGCTTAATTTGTTCCTTGGAGATTTATAATTTCCCAAATAGACCTTGTATGAATTGTTAGGATTATTTATTTTTGTTTTTGTTTTTAAATATTTATGCATACAGGAACTGGGGTATAGGCCAGGGGTGCAGGGGGTGAGAAGATTCACCAGAGACAGAGTGGGGAGCAGAACAGGTGGATCTACTGAAGTACACTGCTGAGGGGAGCAGCTGGAGAGAAAGGAGAGGTTTGCCTCGCCATCTGGGTTTCTCCCTGGCGGGCTGGGGATCGAACACCTTGCATGCTGTGGTGGCTGTGGATAGCTTCGTAGTGCCGTGACTTAACCTCTTGCGCCACCAGGGAGGCCCCCTAGGATTATTTATTTGTGGATATATGTGTACACCACACACACACACACACACACACACACAAACATAATTGACATAACGTTGATTTGCAACACTGTATGTGATTCAGAGGTATAGGATTATAGCTCTCCATATGTATGTTACCCCACCACACCCACCAAGGCACTCCTTTTTTTTTATGTACTGTTAGAGCTAAGTTTCTGCCTGTTGTCATTTTTCTTCTCTTTAATAATTTCTGTTGACATTTCTTACAAGGTAGTCTACTGCCAGTATTGTTTCAAACACCACTTTCCTTTTTTCTTTCTCCTGAAATTTCCATTACACATGTCACTCATTTTGTAGTTCTCCCACTGAAGTGCAGGCAGGCAGTAGTAGGGCAGAGCGAGCAAGGGAGAGTCCTGGAGCCCCCAGTGGCTTTTCAGGTTTTTAATGATCTTTCTACACTATTTGTAGTGAGGCAACCAGGTTCAGGGCAGGGAGGGGGACCGGGAGGCTGTCAGGCCTCCAGCCCCCGGTTAATCCTTACTCTCTCTGGGCTGGCTCTGGCCTTCTCTCAGGGACTCTTTCCTCTTCTAGCTCTTCTCTGCCTCTCTCTGCCACATATGCTGGCCTCTGCTGTCTGTGATGCCGTCCTAACATGCTCAGCCTCCAGGCTCAGGTGTGCCCACTTATTCATGCCCACACCATACTCCAGGTGTCCACCATTAGGCATGAGCACTCCAGCACCCATGCTCCCAAGCGCCTCCTACATCAAGGCTGTGGGTGATAGCCAAAGAGGCCAGGGGCACCAAAGTCTGGGTGATCTTCATTTAGCCTACACCCACTAAAACCACAAAAGTTGGATTTTTGTTCCATTTTTTGTCTTTTTTTTCTGTTTTTCAGTTTTGTTGGTTTGTACTAAGATATATGCTGAAGCTCAGAGATTCTTTCCTCAGCTGTACCCAGTCTACTCGAAAGTTCATCAAAGACATCATTTCTGTTACAGTTTTCTTTCTCAAGCATTTTTGTTCTTTGTTAGGGTTTCCACCTCTCTGCTTACATTGTCCATTTGGTCTTTCAGTTGCACTTTACCCATTGGAACACCCAGCCTCTTATTCATTTCTGCCTTAAAATCCTGCTTTGATAATTTCCATATCCCTGCCATATCTTCGTGTGCTTCTAATGATTAATGTTTCTCTTTAAACTTTGAATTTTCCCTTTTAGAATATCTTGTAATTTTTTTTCTTTATAGTGAGACATGAAGTACTTGGTAAAAAGGAAGCGCTATAGTTAGTCCTTTAGTGGTAAGATCTGCTGAGAGTGAAAAGTTTCAATCTAAATATTTCAGTCTTACGATAGGTCTGATGCGCTAGTGAGCTTGTACCAGTGAACTGTGAACCTCACAGCTGCATCTCTGTTTTGAATCCTGCATTCATTGGGGCAGTATTGCTAGAGGGGCTTGTAACGGCAGGAAAGACCACAGTGCAGTTTCTCTGATCGCATGCAGACCGGGTAAAGGAGGAGTCAGAGAAAGGCTCTGACTCAGTGGTTTTTTTATTGGGTGCAGATCTTTTATTGGGGTTCAGCAGGTACGTGGCAGGCAGGAGTGCTGGGGGGCCGGGAGGCTGGCAGTGTTTCCAGCCCCCAGCAAATCCTCACTCTATCTGGGCTCTCCGGTGATCTCTGCTTCTTCTTATGGCTCTGCTTCTCTCTCGGCTTCTCTTTTAGCATCATCCCCGTGACGCCGCCCTTAAAAAAAAAGCACAGTCTTAGCGCAGGTGTACCCACTTCAGGTGCCCGCCATCAGGCATGCATTCAGGATCACAGGGTCCCCTCATCTATCCTGATGGCGGGAGGGCAGAAAAGCCTGATAATTTTACCTTACCCTGCAGGGCTAGAACTAGGTTTGTGCTTTTGCACCGAAGGCTAGAGAGAGCAAGAGTTGGAATTGAATTCCCCTCCCCCCAGGTCAATTAAGCTTTGACTAAGCCAGGTAGTTTAGGGATAAATAGTTCCACCTGAGAAGGGAGTTTTTAAAGAAAAGGGTGCTCTGGTGGATTTCAGAATGGTTTATTGTCCTCCCTCTGCCAGAAGCAGAAACAGATCTTTCTGCAGCCTTCTCTGTGAGAACCCCTCCAGCTCCTGCAGGTACAACTCACAAAAGTATGGGAATCCCTGATATTAAAAACAGCAGACTGTCTTTATTCTATTACTGTTCCCCCCATTCCCCTCCTCCCCCATTTTGCAGATAACCTGAAATGCAGGCAGTTAGGCTTTATATTATTTCTTGGACCTAAAGGACATTCTTTAAGATGTGTTGTGTCAATGGTGCTGTGCTCTCTGCTGCTTTTGTCTGAAAAAGTTACTAGCTTTCCTTTTTGAAAAGTATTTCGACTTGTTAGAGATTTCTTGTGTTGGTGTTTGTTTTTCACAAATTTAAACAAGTCACCCAGTTGTCTTTTGGATGGTCTGGAAGTGAAACGGCATGTGGGTTTTGTTGCAGGTTGCTAGCTTTAGTGCTTTTTCTGCTTCAAGTTCCTCTAGCATTATCTTTTATATAGGGTACAAGTTGAATTGTCAGAGGGTTTTTATTCCATGTTCCTGTTCTACTGTTAGCTTTAGGCCTTTCTCAGTGTACTTCCACATCAGACTAGCCCTTTCCAAAGATGTTTTCACCCAGGGGCAAACGGCAGTACTTGTGAGTAGCCCGGTGGTGGGGGTCCAGGGTGGGGCTGGGGTGGGGGGGTCCCTGTTGTCTGGTTTACACTCAGCCTTAGACTCGTTTGATGTTCCTGGTTCTTGGAGACGGAGATTTATGATTTTGCTTTGCCTGCTTGAGCTAAATGAGGAACGCCTGTGTAGCCAGGGTGTGGAGAGTCTCTGACCATGCTTACAATAATAGGAAGACATTTTTTTTTTCTGATTTTTTTCTCCCTAATTGCAATTTTCAATGGTGTTTGTGCCCCAATTGTCCACCATGGCTTAAGCACTATTTTTTTTTTTTGAAGTAAGGAAGGAGGCTCCAGATAGAACTTTTCTCTTCCTATAGTGGTGGCTGCTTTTCAAGTTAAGGCCTGCACCAGAAAAGGAACTTCTCTAGTTTCTCACCGTGCTCAAAATGAGTTGTGTTACCTTGTGTTGAAGTCCAGGGAAAAGTCTGAGATTGAGTATAAAATCCCTGGTCCTGTGACCCGTGGGAGTTTTATACACTCAGTCTTCCCTACAACTGGTCTTTAGCAATTTCTTAAAAAAAAATCAGCTGAAAATGTCTTGCTGGCTTATATGGCAGCCCAGTTTTCCTGCTACATCCTGGCCCGTGTAAGCCTCCACTCAAATTTTCTTGGAGGTGTCAGTTTGTCCTCAGATTTCAATCTTTTTTTTTTTTTTTTTTTTTTTTTTGGTGATCTCCACTGCCTGATTAGTGCAAAATAGCAAAGTAGTTTATCAGATATTTTCTTGTCTGCGTGAAATCAGTTCTCTTTGTTTCTATTTCCTAATTGGAAGCCAAACTTTGTGGAGTTTTTTTTTTTGTTTTGTTTAGATGGAACTGTTTAAAACTGATGCCAGCTCCATAGGAGACAGTAGCTCACAGTTGTTTCTGGTTATTGAGATGATTGCTTCCAACAGCAGTTGTGCTGGCATCATACCCTTGAAAATTTAGGTTTCCTTTAAAAAAACAGAACAAAATTTTCTCTCATCAAAATGTGTATGTAATGTCATGTTGTAAATGTGATGCCTCTGGCAGGTCATTGTTAAACTAGGCTTTGAGCTTTTTATTTTTTATTTTTCAGTAGTAGAGTGACAGATTAAGTAGATGCTGTTGTGTGTACTGAGACATCAGAATGTAAAAATGACTATTTTAACAGAATTTCACCAAAGGAAAACTGATTTTATTACCTGTTCATTTAAATTTGAGAAATTTGATTTATCTTAAGAGCATGTAAAAATGTGAGCAAAGCTATTCCTTAGACAATCAAGCAATCAATTTAGCTCATCAGAATTCTTAATTCTAATGTATTGCATCATTCTTATTAAATTTTATTTCATCACTCTTGCCATTATCACATTTAAGTTAATCAGTGTGAAAACTACTTGAAAGTGCAGTTTATATAAAGATACTAATGTGTTCTTGACATCCTATGAATAGAGTAATAGCCTAACGAACTTAGAAAATATTTTTTTTAGTCCTGTTTTGAGTAATAACAAGAAGTAGTCTTTATTTACCTAGTTGGGTCAAAATGCTAGAAGTCCAGTGACACACATACACAACATGAGTAACAACTGTTCACCATGAATGTGTTATGGCTTCATATTATCTTTTCATGTTGTCATCAATACTGGATAAAGAAATAGTAGTATAAAATCAGTGTAACTATGCGAGCCTATCTACATGTTGTTTAGATGTTGTTAATAAGTGTTTAGTGACTATTATGTTTCAGGAGCTGTTCAAAAAGTGTTTCAACAATGACTTAGAGAACAAGCTCTGCTTCACATAACTCCTTTTTTCCAACAAAAATTAAAAGTACTGATTGTGCTTTTGTATTCACTTTCTTGAGAAGATCTCAAATGGGATAGGTTTAAGTCTGTGTTTTTTTTTTTAAAGATTTATTTATTTATACAAGTACTGGGTATAGTCAGAGGCGGGGGAGGGTGAGAGAATTCACCAGAGCAGACAGTATAACAGGCAGACTGATGAAGTACACTGCTGAGGGGAGCAGTGGGTGGCAGGCAAGGTCTGCGCGCCATGTGGGACCCTCCTCCAGTGGCCGGGGAGCAGCTGGGGATGGAACCAGTGCTGCAGAGGCTGCGGGCAGTTTCGCAACCCAGCCCTCAACCAATGCACCACAGGGGAGGCCCAAGTCTGTGTGTCAATAATAAGTCTGAGTAGTTGACCTTGGATTTGTTATGATTTCTCTAGAATATATACATTTTTTTGTTTTTGGTATTTGGACAATTAGAGACTTGTCTTTTTTAATGTTAATCCATGTGGAACAAGACTAGAACATGAAATATTTGGTTTAAATTTAAGGAATGGTTTATTTATTGATACCCTCCCCCCCCCCCCCCCCCCCGTTTGGGCAGAAGATACTTAAACAGCTCCTCTCAGCAGCCTGTGTGTATCAGACAATACTAGGTCAGTCACAGTTTTAATGACCTGAGGAGCAGGAATCTCTTTACCAGGTCTATACTTAAGGTTGCATTTACATTAAGTTTGTTTTTCTTGTGGTATGCTGGGATCAGATCTAAATTTTTAAGTGCCAGTTGTTAAATTTTCAGGAGATTTGAGATCTGTCTGCCTAACAATTGACATCTTTAAATCTGACATCGTGAAGTATTTATATTACAAAAATTAGCAAATGTTACTAATCAGGTCTCAGCTACCCTCAGGTGAGTCCTTTGGTGACCTTTATCATTAGATCTCAGGATTTTAACCTGAGGAGCATAGTTCCATAAAGTCTCTGTCAATTTGAAATATTGTCCTATGAAACGAGGGAATGAATTGTTTTTTATTTTCTTCTCTCTACTCTTTAATCTTGCTACAAGTTTATCTCCTAGACCCTTTGTTGAAGTCCCAAGTCTTGAAAAGGTGCTGCTATTTATTTTTTACTCTGTAAGATATTCAGTTCTTTATTCCTTTCCTCCCTTTCAGACAAAGGGGAAACATCTGTTTTCAGTGAAGACCTTATCAGATGTAATAAATTAACCTTATTTATATATATTTGCATCTTGTCCTCAGTCCCATATGTAATTTTAACCTTCACTCAATTATTCAATACTTTGAGTTCTTCTGGTGTATGATGCACTTGGAGCCTGCATTTCTGAGACATGGCACATATTATAGTGTTTGGAGGTCCACAACACCATTCTCATATTCAAAGATTTCCTGAAGTGACTCATCAGACTTAAAATAAAGTTTTACTCCTAAGGCTTATCACAAAGATGTAGCAGGGTTTACAGTTGGGCCATAAGGGAAACAGACATGAGTCTGGATGGACCCATCTTCAGGTTTCCTTACACTCTCTCCCTCTAAGATGCATCACAAGGGGCACATCCTTCCCTAGGGATGAAAATGCAGCAATGCATGTGCATCTGTTTTTGTTGAGAGAACCTCATTAGAGACTCAGTGGCCAAGATTTTTATTGGGTGCTGGTCATGTACCCATGCCTAGCATGTGCCAAAATTCCAGATTCACAGAGGAAAGCATGTTGTTTGCCCAAATATAACACAGTATAACAACTGCCTTTATTATTCTGGACTAGCAGGAACACTCTAAAAATCAAAGTTCCCAGATATCAGCCAAGGGCAAACCTTGAAATGTTGGGCTAGAAAGACTTGCTTCTAAGGATACTTCTCAGACCAGCTATATTCATCTTCTTTTGCACAATTAACCTTATTTCTATAACCTCATGGTAAAAAATTATATGCACTTTTAATAACCAAGTTTCTGTTTACCTTATAAAATGAGCATGTTAGTTATTGGTCATTTTATTTTCCTTTCAATTCTGGTTCTAATAAGTAGATATGCCTTCTTTGTGCTTGTTCCATTATTCATTTTCGATAAACATTTTCTCTATACTATTGGTATAATTTGAAACAAATTGCACAAAATAGAACAAAATTCCTTCTATAAAAGAGCTTGTGCTTGTGTATGGTGAGTGTGTGTATAGTAGTATAGAGACTGTCAACTTGTGCTGTGTTTGCTATTGTGGGGGAAAATCCACAGAGGAATAGAGTATGACAGAGTGATATTTTAGCTGGTTTATATGTTATGGAGGAAGACCTTTTTTGGCACAGACATCTGAAAAGAGAAGTGAAAGAAGAGAGTAACTTATCCAGCTATCTGGAGGAAGCTCCTTCCAAACTGAATTCCATGTTACAGAAGCAGGAACTGATACCAGGAGGGCAAGAAGGTCTGTGTGACTGATGTCAAAGAAGGCAAGGGAGATTTTTAGCTAACAGATGACATCAGAGAGGTAGTAGAAGAATGCTAAACATATTTTAGAGACTTGAAGTTTGCATACTGAGTAAAAAATTTATTAGGTAAACATATGAATGAGGGATATAGATGGCAGATTTTATTAATTGGAGGACAGAGGAAAACAGATGAACTATTTATCTGAATAATACTGACTGAATTGACTAAGAAA